GGGGGGGGGGGATGACCCACAGCCAAGGGAGCAACAGGCCGGTGCAGAGAGGAACAGGGTCTGAGACACAGCTGTGCACACAACTTTGAATTCTATCTAAAATCCTCTGTTCTGTCCACCTTGCGTCTGACACCTGGCCCTCCTCATGGCATTTCTCCTCTACTCCCCCTTGCCAATTGCTCAGACCCCACAGCAATAGGGTCAGTTTCCTCTAACCTGTAGGATATTTGAGATACAGGCCCTAAGGATACAGGCCCTAAGGCTTAGGATATTTGACATACAGGCCCTAACGCTCTAGGGGCAGCCCAGCTGTTCATCATTGGCCTGGATTAACCTCACTTTTCCTCCATCGCAATGTTCCCTCCAGGTTCCTTTATGGGGTTTCAGCCTAGGGTCTTCTGTTCCCAGAACCCTTTGGATTTCTGCTTGCCTATTCCTTTATATACCCCTAGTGTGGACACCAGGATGTTTCTGTCATAACCCCATGACCACCTAACTCCATCTTGATCCCTAAGCTGTCTTTTGAGTTTGTTTCAAGTCCTTCCCTTTAGGAGTGGGCCTCAAGGGATAGGAGAACAGAAGTAGTTGAAGAGTCACCTACCTGGCCCCTGAATATTGGTACAGAAACAGATTAGAAAGATCCTACACACCACACACTCTAGCAGCAGCAATGCAACCATCCAAGACTAATCGATCCCTACCCAACAGGAAGCAATGGGAGCTGGGCAAAGCTGGCAACTGAAGCCTCAGGGGGTGGTGGCAGACAGGGTTAGAGCAAAGGAGAACAGCTAAACTGGCATCGTTCTTAAGGTGCCCCTTGGTTAGACTGGGTAGAGATTAGTTTAGAATGAAGTGCGTCTGTGTCTCCAGAGGCAGCATCCTCCCTCATGGGGGACAGTGGGATCTCGTTGGAAGGGTCCTTGGCATCAGCAACTACTGTGACTCCCTCAAGCTCATCAGTGATCGGGCAGATGGTCAGGGGCTTTTTACCGCAGGACCACAAGCAGAAGAAGGGTCGTAGGGGGCCAGGGAAAGGGGTATTGGAGAAAGTGTAGATGTGGGACCCATCAGTCATGTTGTAGAATGCAATGTGTCCTGATTCATAGTCCAGGAAAATCCCAACCCGGTGGGGGGGTCCTGCTAGGGTAAGAGGGGTCCGCAGGGGGGTGAGGGCCCAGTACCCATTTCCATACAGCTCCACAGCCCAGAACCCATTCTTGGGAGTCATGGGGTCAAATCCTTTCTTCATCACATCCTCCCTACACACCCCGATCACCCAGTCGGTCCTGTCTCCTACCTCCACCTCCCAGTAATGTCTCCCCGAGGTGAAGGCCTCCCGACCCAACACGCAAGGCCAGGAGTCAAATCTCTCAGGTTTCTCAGGCAGCTTCTGACGTGCATCTTCCAGACGGACAGATTTGTAACCCTCATACAGGTAGAGGTGGGGGTGGGCGGTGTCTGGATCCAGAGTCACATCAACTAGACAGGGAGAGGAAATGGGTCTGAGCATGAGTGGATGTGAGAGGCTGCAAGACCTGTCCTTCCTTCTCCAATGAGATAGGAGCTGACAGGTCTCCTCCGAGGAGAGCTACTTGGTCTGCTCAGCTGTCTCTATTCCCCTCTTCCATCAACAGCCACAGGGTGACGTATGAGCTGACTGTCCCCAGTGCCTAATGCCCTGTGTTGGATGGGGCTTGTCTCCTAGCCATCTCCCAAGAGCCCTCTATGTGCCTCAAGGAAAAGTTGATGCCATTTGCCATCATCCTTCCCCTCTCTATCCTCATTGCTATAATGTGTTGGTGCTTTTATTTCTAAGTATTGTAGGACTTTGAATCCCTGGGGATGAAGCTTCAGAGCCCTTGAGAGGTTGAGTCACTGACCTGCATGCAGTGTAGCCTTTTTCCACTCTGCAATGAGACAGAAAGACAGTCAGTGACAGGTCTTATTTAGAGAGAGAGAGAGAGAGAGAGAGAGAATCTTGAGGGTGAAATATAACAAGAAGACAGAACTTACTGAGCTCTTCCAGGAGTTTCTCTGGAAAACAAACAGAAATAACTAATGACCTTCTATAAAGGACATAATGGGAGCCACACAACTAGTGTGAGAAACACACAAAGGAGTAAGTGTTAAATCATGACTATTCAATTACCGAAACACGATCAATACTGAAGAACAAGGGTTGTTGTGTTTTCTAAGAAATAAGCAGGAAGTGCCTACTGGTCTGGGATCAGATCTTTCGTCATTACTGGGAACCCAGGTAGTCATGAGGAGAGAGCCTCAGGGGAGCAGGGAGCAAAGATCCGGTCTAACATCTGCTAGAACTGGCTCTGACTCTTCCTGCACCCAAACCTCTGTTCTTGTTCAGATCGAGTACCAGAGACTTCAAGAGCCTTATAATCCCCTCTGACTTTCACAATTCTAGAGTCAGAAATCTTCCAGTGGCAGTTCTCCTAAAGGACTTGGATCCAACCTCACTCGGAAGCACTCCTGACAAGTAGCCTGGGATTCTGTGGCTTACCTGTAGAGCTGAATTTATCCTTCCTCTGTCTGGACCTTTCCTTGTATAGTCTCCAGGTGAAAAATATGGACCCGATGGTGAGAATTCCTAGGACCACTAATATGACAGCCACAGCCACCATCCAGGGAGTCAGCCTTGGGAAGGAAGGAGCTAAAACAAAGTCCCCCCAAAAGGACATCTGTTGAGAAATTTTGAGCAAATCCGGCTCCTCTTCTGGTTCCAAAGGGACTTGGAGGAGGGGATAACCTGGACCTCTCCCATTCCTCCCATGGAGTCCAAGGCCACTCAGGTTTTTCAGAAAAAAATAAAAATAAAAATTGATCTTAGGTAGGAAAGAGCAGAAAAAGAGAGGAAGGAAGATGCACAAGAGTCATTTTGGGACAGAACCTGTGAAATAAAGGAAAAAATGGACTAATTCATGTTGTTATGGAAATTCCTCCTTAATGATCAATGGAGGATCTGAGCCAAGGAGATGAGGGAAGTAAGTCAGGAAGGGGAAGTATCACTTCCGTGTGACTCAGTGACCAAAGGAGAAGGAACAGTTCCTGCCAGGACCAGAGGTGGTGTGGGGGGAGCAATGGGAAGATTTGCTTTCCTGAGGACCCTGGATAGAGCCCTAGCCTGGGATGGGGAGGCGGAAGGGGATGGGGTGAGGGTGGGAACAGGAGAAGGTAATCTTCTTGTTTATTCAAAGAGAGAGTCTCTGGATCAGGAAGGCCTGCGGGGACAAACCTTCTCTATCTATGGTGTATCTACTAAGATGGAAAATTTGGGATTTCTATTAGGTCTGGGTGCAGTTCATGCCTTCAGCGTCTTTATGCTTCAACTGAAGTTGGTGGGGGCTCCCTCAAGTCAGTGGGCAGGATTTTAGGTGGAGAAAGTAGACCATGAAGTCACGCGGTGCAGGTGTCCCAGGTGACCTGGCCCTGAAGCTGCCAGATAGGAACCCAGTATTGGTTTCACTGACCTGGTATGAGAATTCCTACTTCCTTCTCCTGGCCAAGAAGGACGTTCTGGATACAGCAGGACACATTCTTCATAGAGGTGTCCCTGATGGTCACTGAAGCTACCACAGTGAACAGGCCTCTTTCATCAGGGTTCTTGAACTCTGACGTGGATGAAAGCTTCTCTCCCTTGGGTGTTCTCCACTGCACCTGGGGCTCTGGGTACCAGCCCACTGAGGTGCACTCCAGCCGGGCCTCTCCATTGTCTTGAACTTCCATATGGATGTGAGGATCAGAGCCCAGAGCTGTGGAGAGAGAAGCTGGTCTTACTCCTTCAGTGGACACCCTCCTGGGAGCCTTATAACCACAGGGTTATGTAGCTGGAGAACAAAAAGCACAAGGGGACAGGGAGTGAGGGGGATTCCTCTCCACAGTTCATTACATGAGGAAACTGAGGTATACATAAAAGGAATTTCATAACCTCATCAGAAAGGGATACCGTGCCGGGGTTCAGTGGTTGAAACGTGGGCAGGAGTTTGATGGGCAGACATGGGGCACTTGTCCAGTCAGCAGAAACGCCAAGACTAATGGCTAGTGATGAGTCGGTGGTCTAGGCTGGGAGCTCCAGAGGTGAGAGGGAGCTCTGTGGGTGGAAGTGTTATGAGAAGGCTTTGGGGAGGAGAAAAAGAAAGTCAGGTATTTGAAGATAAGTAGAGGAGTATCCTTGAGGAGAGTGTCCTGGCTGGAGGTCCTTTGCACTGTGATCATAGCTGACAATTTAAGTTTCCTTTACCTGTGATACTGATTCAGAAATTTTCTTGAATTTTTTCAACCTCATTTCCCTCAAACAAATATGTCCTAACATAAATCAATATCTGCTTTCCTGGTCTCTTCAGCTTAATTATTTTCTTACACTTCCCCAGAAAAACACTCAGCTACACAGAAGAGTCCAAACACATGTCCACAACTATGGGTCTAAATCCATATGCCAGGTTTTCGTGTATAGGTGAGAATGTGTGTTCTCATGAAAAGGACTGCCACTCTCAGCAGATTCTCAAAGGTGTCTGTCACTCATAAAAGGTGACAATGACAGTTTTGTGCTATCAAAACATGTAATACACATTTAAGATAATTCCCTAAAAAGGAAATGTGATTTACACATGATGTTGCCACAGGGCACAGCCTGTTACGAGGCAGGGATCCAGATATCACTCAAATTTTTCAAACTTTACCTTCATTTGAATATATACATGAAGGGCAATATATTTGTATATCATATTTTAGAGCAGCCTGGGGTACAGTAATAGTATCTTACCAGTATAGAAGGCTTCTGGAGTTGACGGTTTCTGATATATTGTCCAATTTTATTTCATTCTTGCAAAACCTTGTCGGGTAGATGCTCCCCGGTTTTTATAGTAGGAAACGTGGCTCGAGAAGAGCTTTGCTTGAGGCCCAGTAAGTGGGAAAGTCAGACCTCTGCACATTTTCCACCCGAAGGCTCCCCACGTTCGTTATTGTTTCACCCCAAATGTTGGCTTGGAGCGAAACAGGAAACAAAAGCAAAACCTTTTCTAGGTGGGTCAACAAGGGACCCTGCTTTGTGATCTCAGGAAATCAGAGGATACTATTTGGGGTATCAACCCCTAAAACAGCCTCAAAGTGCGCACGGGGACGCTGCCCGGAGCCCCTGGTGATGGTGAAACATAAACTCACGTGTGTTCACTTCTGGGGCCGGATCA